CAACTCCACCAGCAACTTCATCATCTCGGCCAGATCAGGGGTCTACCTCTGATCTAGCAGAGCAGTCATCTACCTCGGCTCTACAACTGATCCGACCATCTCAACGCCGACGCCGAACTGCAATTGCTGCCAAGATGGGTCGCAGAAGATCTTCTAGCCGACATCCCCAACACCATCAACGCTCAACCAGCACAATCCCAACCAAAACCAAAGCCCAAAAGACTGAAGAAGGCCCAGCCTAAGGCAACGATGACTCAGATTGACACTGAGGACACCTTGCCAATGTCTAAGTTGGCTGAGAGCGAGAAGACCACTTCTGCTACCGAGAAGAGGCCTGCTGAGGCTGAACCATCCTAATCAACCCGATCGAAGAGGCCGAGGTCTGAGCCCGCAACAACCTCGGGCTCTATGAAATCAGATGCCCCCTGGGCTCCCCCCATTACAATTGAAGACAAGCCGGTTAGAGTTGGCAACAGCGCCGACGTTATTGAAGTCGATGTTGCCCTCTCTACCGCCTTGCTCCTTCTCAACGATCTCGAGCACAACGCCAGGATGAGCGAGTATGAGAACTTTGCTCTGATGTTGCAACGCTCCGTCCAAGTAAGCCCTTAACACTTTGTAATTTTTCATTTTCTTTCCGCTACCTCATACTTAGAGAGTTTTATTAACTCGTTTTTCTCTATTTCTCCTAGGCGATCCAACATTGCCACTCTTTTGCGATGCAAGCCTTTGCCATTAAGAATGAGTTGGTGAATAAAACCAAAGAGGCTGCTAGCTTGCAGAGGGCTTTGAAGAAGGCTGAGGGCAAAATGAAAACCTTGTCAGATCAGGCCAAGGCTGCCATAAAAGCTCAGGACGTAGCCGAGGAAAAAACAGACGCTGCTGAAGCCATTAAGAAGGTCCTTGAAGCCGAAAAGAATGAGGCCCAGATAAAAACTGATGAGGCTCAAGCCAAGCTCCGGGCTGCCTTGGCCACGAAAGCAACCGAGATCAAAACGGCCGATGAGAAGGCGTATGCTGAGGGGGCGGTCGACGTCAAGGAGGACTACAAAAAGCAAGTGAGGCAGGCATGCAACAAGGGTTTTACCCTTGGTTGGATGGCTGCCCTCAAAAAGCTTGATGTCCCCGAGGACTCCCCACTTAAGAATGCTGGTGACCTTCCCTGCCATTTCCCCCTACTCCAAGCCAATCCGAAGACGATTCCGAGTTCGAGGAGGAAGCTTTGATTAGGAAGACAAAGGACGCTGCTGGGGCCAAGTCCCCTACTCTCAATGAGCAAGTCGTAGACTTGTCTCAGGATAAGGAGGGCGAGGTCTCCAAAGATGCCACTCCTGAGACAACATCGGACATGCCTATCGTCGAGAAGAACATTGATTAAACTCTTTAAGAAATCGATGTCGAGCTCGTAGCGGAGAGGACCGCCGAGATGTTTTCTCAGCTGTCTTCTGAACTCCAGACCCAATCAGCCAGAGACGCCGAGGAGTCTTAGTCTGATGTTTTTCTCTTTTTTCTGTACCTTGTACTCTTTTTCTTTCTTTTTGAAACAATATAAGCTTTTATTTGGCCGATGTTCCTTCATCTATTCTGAACAAGTAATCTCCAATATTAGGCCGAAATGCCTTTTTTGTATTTGAACTTCCTTATCTGAATGCAAGTATAACTTTCTTCCCTCAATGTGATTGTATGTTTGTCTTCCTTTTACTGTCTTATATGATTCTATACTTAGAATAATTTCCATGTTTTCAACATACACCTTAACTGTGTAATCTTCTCGGTGTGGAATACTTCGGTTGATCCCACTAACAGCTTATTTCAGCTTTGACCTAACACTTGAAAATATTCATACTATTTTCACAATTGTTATTTACAATTTTCCACTTCGCTCAAGACCTTTGTCTTTATTTATTGCAGCATAATCTTGGGTTAGCTTTAACTTGTAAATTTTTCTCAAAATTTCAACAAGCGTTAAACCATCTTCCTTTAACATAACATCGGCTTAACTTCAACTTGTAAATTTTTCTCAAAATTTCAACAAGAT